AAAGAAATATTTTTTATAAAACACTGGAAAAGAGTATTAAAAGAAGCCAGGTGTGGTGGCTCACACCTATAATCCTAACACTCTGAGAGGCTGAGGCAGGTGGATTCCTTGAACTCAGGAGTTTGAGAGGAGCCTAAGCAAGAGGGAGAGACTCTGTCTCTCCTAAAAAAACTGAGGTAAGATGATCGCTTGAGCCCAAGAATTTGAGATTGCTGTGAGCTATGATGATGCCACGGCGATCTACCCAGGGCCACAGAGTGAGATTCTGTTCAAAAAACAAAACAAAACAAAAAAAGAGGCATTAAAAGAGGTGGTGGTGATACTGACGGGAAAATTATCTTGGACAGTTCAGGTAAAGTTATCTGTTTGAAGACAAGATGAATTACAAGGCCTCTGATATGAATTCCATTTCAATTTTTTAATCTTAGGAAACACAATCTAATAAAGTATCCAAACCATCCAGTGAGAAAACTGCAGTTGGCACTACAGGAAAATCAGTACTAGAAGAAATATAATATTCCACAGGACAAATCTTATGACTAATACTGTCCAAAATATTTTTATATTATATTGCATAAAATTAAATAGAAGTGAAATATTATTAGAAACATCTTAGAAGCTTCTTCTAACTATGCAGTGACTCACAGCCTCTTTATTTCTTCCAGCACTTTCAAATGCATGGGAGCAGGGAGATAGCTGGAGAAGAAAGATGAATCATTACATGATGAATATGTACACTACAGAAAACACTTTGTAAGTGACTGATATCCCTAGTGTATAGCTCTGCTGGGGGATTCTGTTTGAAATACATGATATGCTACTTACAGCTTAAAAATAATTTTGATACACAAATGAATTAGCTGAAATATAATTTTACCTGTATAATGAACAGAGGCATCAACTAAGGTATCCTGTAATAAGTTAGTACTGTATTTTTATATATTTAAGATACTGAAGGGAAAATACTAAAATTTTATCAAAAGTTAGATTTAGGTATGCACTATTAAAAAACTGACATTATCTACAAAATAGATAAAATTAGTTTAAAATTCAATTGTAGAAAATCATCCTAGTTTCTACCCACTATACTACTCAGGTGTTTTTATAACAATCAAAAGTATTACAACAAAAGATTATAAAAAACATTTAAAATGCAATTTTATATAATTTTTATTTACACTTTAGAATTTAAACAACTTGGCTAGGAACATCCTTTGTGAGGCAATGTAGCTCTTTGTTTATTTGAAACTATTTAAACTTGAAGATAGGCTCACTAATTTTTCTCAAGGGCAAACAACAAATGTTGCTAGTTGAAAATAGCCAACTTAAGGATTATTTGTGACATAAACTTGATCATGTGAGCCTAAAGAGCCTCCCCACCTCTGTCTCCCATCTGGAGGAAGAGGTCTTTGTGTGCTTTTTTGTGATGGTTCCACTGAATTCATTACAATAGAGATGGACATTTGATATTCATAACGATCCAACATCTGAGCAATCTTCTTTCGAGACACACCATGTTTATTCCTCCTACCAAAAAAGAAAAGGATTGTAAATCTTTTCTTTAGAATGTAAAGGTTTATAGAGTAAACTATTTTAGAGGAACAGTATATAGACTCTAAATTATATTTTGCAAATAAACATTAGAAGATGTATTACATTTACCCACATTTTATATAAAAAGACTTATATTGGCTATCTCTAACTTTTTGACAATATTTTTAAAGGTTTAAAGACACTATAAATCACAGCAAAATGCAATTAATTTATAACTTCTTCACATAGAACTACCTAGTCACTGAACCTATTGACTATATCCCCATCTTTTAATAAAAACATCAAAGATTATGAAATACTACTTTAAGAATTAAAGGACTGAATGGACTTCTAGGACTTAGAAAAATCCACATAAAATATTTATTATTTTTTTTAAATGTTATGATAGTTCTCACATTTTTAAAATACTAATACAATATTATTAGAGACACACAATTTAGACATCTCTCACAAACATATTGTTGAGTGAAAGAAACTAGACAGAATGAATACAAATTTTATAATTATATATTCTTCATATATAATTATATAAAGTTTGATAGAAGGCAAATTAAACTATGGTATTAAGGCAAAAGACATTATAGTAAAACTAAAAAAAAATAAGAAAGTGATTATGATTACGAGAAAAACCTTATCTTTAGAGAATGAAAGGTAATTGTGACTGAGAAGAGGAATGGCAAAGAGCTTCTGAGGTGCTAATCATGTTCCCATGACATGGGTGATAGCTAAATGTGTATTGGTCTTGTAAGAACTTTGTTAGGTTGTATATTTATATTTTATGTACTTTTCTGTATATAAGTTTATAGGACAACAAAAAGTGGTTTAAAATTTATTCTTGACTCTCAAAGACTTTTTTTTTTTTTTTTTTGAGACAGATCCTCAAGCTATCCCCCTGGGTAGAGTGCCATGGCATCACGCTCACAGCAACCTCCAACTCCTGGGCTCAAGCGAGTGTCCTGCCTCAGCCTCCCAAGTAGCTGGGACTACAGGTGCCCGCCACAACGCCCGGCCATTTTTTTGGTTGCAGCCATCACTGTTGTTTGGTGGGCCTGGGCTGGGGATTTGAACCCACCATCTTAGGTGTATGTGGCTGGCGCCTTAGCTGCTTTAGCCACAGGCGCCGAGCCAACTCTCAAAGACTTCTGACAGCTTATTTTACCCTCAAAGTTTTCTGTAACTTGACTTGGACATGACAGACATACAGAAACATATTTTACTTAACATTATAGTTCTAGATATACCAATGTGAACTCATTTTTCCCAGAAAAAATCCACAGAGAAATGTTTACTTTTCAAATCTGATATTTACATACAAGAGAAAACAAAAAAGACAGAATATAAAAAAAGATCTGAGGTTGAAAATTTGCAAGATATAATTAAATCATTAAGATGTCAAAATTAATAACAGAATTCTTTTCAAAATCAAAGTATGCCAGATATCAGCTAAGCTGGCTTTTTATGTAAAAAAGTAAGAAAGTAATAAATTTCAACAGTCCCTCAAATATCAGTTTTTAAACTGTCTCTTCCATCTCTGGTGTGTTACACACACAACATAGTTAGGCCAGCAAATAATGCAGATAGTAATACTAATTAATTTATTAGTTTCCCAATCTGTATATGGACATACCACACCATGTAAATAAGAGAGCGAAAGAAAGTAGCCAAAGGAAGAAAAGGCAAAGGGAAAGAATAAAATTAGCTGGACCCCATACACAGAATAACAGCTTCAAGCTAGAAGAGGGTAAACTGAGTGCAAGGTGAAAAGCTACCTTAAAAAGGAGGAGTGATGATTGCACAACGTTCTGAATATGCTGAAAAGCACTGAATTATACTTTTTTTTTTTTTTCCTTGTTTTTTTTTGTCGAGACAGAGTTCTACCCTTTGCCCTGAGCAGAGTGCAGTGGCATCGTAGCTCACTGCAACCTCAGACTCTGGCTTGTAGGCATCCTGCTGCCTCAGCCTCCGAAGCCGCTGGGATTACAGGCGCTCGCCGCGGCGCCCGGCTGGGTTTTTTCCATTTTTTTCCATGAGTTGGGGTCTCACTCTCGCTCAGACAAGCCTCGAACTCCTGAGCTCAAGCAATCCTCCCTCCTCAGCCTCCCAAAGTGCTGGGATTACAGGTGAATTATACTTTAATGGGTGAATTGTAAGATATGCAAATTACATCTCAATAAAGTTGGTACCAAAAGAGGGGGGCAGTGAAAGCAAGGAAAGAAAAAAGTCATAATCGGAAAGAACATAAAGGTAAACACAAATGGAAGAGCAGAGTTGAAATTAATACAAGTCCACAATCTCTCAGCACCAGTTCTGAAGTCGAATAAGCTCTGAAAATTAAGGTTTTTGTTGACTCATATCACAGCAAAACCTAACTACATCTATACTTGTCTGGCAGTGCAACCTACTCAGAATTTACATTAGATTAGGAAGAATAATTCTTTTCTACTTAGCTAACCGGTCATGATTTGCTGCAGAAATATTTACATGTTTGATCATTAACAGGCTCCCCCAAATTCTAGAAGGGATGTCAAACAATCGGTATATATGCACTGTATTACCCTTCTAAAATTCAAAATGCCTAAATTTCAAAACACATTGATTTCAAGGATCTTGATATGGGATTATGGACCTGTAGTTGCAAAGATGAAAATGAGGGAGTAAGATGAAAGCACAGGGTAAAAAGTTGATGGGGCCTAAAATAGGAAGAAGAAGGCAGAAGGACAATGCACTAGAGAACTGGCTAGGCCAAAACAAGAAGAGAAAGTTCCAATTTCACCCTCAAAGTTGTTGCACCTAGCATTCAATAAAATGATGAAGGAATTCACAAAGGGGGGGGGAGATAAGAATTTAATAAAAATTCAAGTGCCTTACTTTTCTAATTCTTCAGGATCAAATTTCCACCAAGTTTCAGGTTCATGAAACTCTACTCTGTATCCTTTTCCTATGGCCTACACAAAGAAAAGGAAGAAGACAAAAACCCAGAGAATACTTCTTAAAGTAAAAAGAAGGCAGACAGATAAAATTTCATTAGACAATACTCCCAAATTGGTCAACCGAGAAAAAGTGTTACTTTATAAAATAATATGGTTTATAAAAATTTTAAGAGTACTTAACCAGACAAATTCCAACTATGATTCTCAAGGTCAGACAAAATTAGTAAGATGAGCTTATTCTTTACTAAGTACCCTTCATAATTTTTAGCAAACTAAGCAAACCAACAAACTTCTGTATAAAACCAGGACAAATGTTTTAATAATTAAGGTCAACTGGGCAATATTTCAGAACATAAAAAAGCTGCAAAGTATAAAAAATAAAAACTCTCTCATATTTCATATTTACCATTTCCACATATGGTTTCATTTCCCATGCTTGTGTATTAGTGTTGTCTATTATAACTGGAGATCTCCCCTGATCAATAGCTTGTTTTGCTGAAATAAGAAACAAATTTTAAAAAGTAAAAATAAAACCCAGAATTATTAGGTTAAAATACACAAAGAAAATACAATTTTAAACATCTGTTATTGGGAAATAAACTACATCTCTACTTAAAACCAAAATTGTGCAATCACTTTTTTAACTGCTACTTAAAAAAACCAATAACAACAAAACTCTCCACTAGGTTAATAGGGAAGTAAAGAAACATAACCACACGCCAGGTATATTTTCCAGAATAGATGTTGGTTTTGAGAAAAAGATTTTTGGGGACATTTATTAAATTTACAGGAAAGCTTCAGTCTAGAGCTAACATTCATTTACAGGAAATATAGGAGATAAAGAAACAAGTTACTTGTGAATATGGACTTAGTATGAGAAGGGGTAAAAATTTATTAATGTGGAAAGATGGAGATTATTAAATGAAAACAGCAAGTTACATGACAATATTATCTTATTTAGGTCAAAATACAGAGTTGGAAACATTTACTAAGATATTAAAAGTAGTCATCTATAGGTGGTAAGAATATTTGTATTTCATGTTTATCTGTATTTTCTAATTTCCTACAATGTACAAATAATTAATGCCTTTGAAATAAGAAAAGCTTATATTTAAAAAATTATGGATTTATCATTACTTGCAATCAAAACTTTATATATCAAGTAGCTAAATACCACAGTTAACTGAGTTTGTGGAGACTATGATCCTCAAATTGGGACTTGAGGTAGAAAAGAACTTTTCTAAACTGCCTTTCCCAATCCCAATGCCATCTTTTCTACCATGAGAGGAGAATCACTGTCACAGAGGACCACTGTTAATGCAACAGTGTATAAACTGTTCAGGTATAAAAGACAAGAAAAATGATTAAAATTAAGAACATTTGATGAAATTTAAAAGGCAAAATGCAAACATAAGGAAATTTTCTTGGGACTTAGAATTCAAACCACTAAGTTCAAAAGAATAAAACATTTATACATCAGTCTAAAACAGAATTCTAAAAGTCAGTTTTGAATATGACTATGTCAGAATACATATTTGGGAATACTAAAAGAAATTTAGAATTTGGATCACAAATAAGTTATTATTATCCATTAGCCTTAGCATCAAGATGCTTTCATCTCCCATTGTTCTATCTTTAATCACAGATATCAAATCTTCCATTAAAAAAAATTAATGAAAGAATTATCCAGGCTCGGCGCCTGTGGCTCAAGCGGTTAAGGC